TTCGAATTTATAATTTTTTGACTGTTCAGTTCCTCGATTTTTCGATCTCTTAATTTTTCGACTCTTCGATCTCTCAACAGTTTTTTGATTTTTCGATTCTTTACTTTTATCAGTTTATTACACTTTCCGACTTCGAATCTTTCGAATTTTTGATTGGTTGAGTTACGATTTCTGAATTTTTCGACTTTTAAATTTGTGGGCTTTTCGATTTTTCAATTTTTATGTTTTTCAATTTTTCAAAAAGTGACAAACAATCAAGATATCGAAAAAACCAAAAATTCAGAAATTGAAAAACAGCAAAATCTAATACATAATTGAAACATCGAGAAATTGAAATTCGCCATTTTTGAATTTCTGAATTTTTCAATTTTTAACGTTTGCGGTTTTTCGGTTTTCGACTTTTTGATTTTTGTCTTTCTCCTTCTCAATTTTTCTCATTTCCCAACTGTTCGATTATATATATTTTGGAATTTTCAATTTTAAATGTTTTAGTTCCTCAAATTTTCAATTTTTCGATAATTCAATTCCCCGATTTTTCGATTTTTCAACTTTTCGATTTTTCAGTTTATACCTAATATTTTGACTTTTCAATTTTGCTTAAAGTCGGAAAATCGAGTTTGAAAAGTCGAAAAGCCGAAAACTCCAAAAATTGAAAGACTGCGAAATCTAAACTGCAAAAGCGAGCAATTGAAATTTGCGGTTTTTCAATTTCTAGACTTTTCAGTTTTTAACTTCTGCAGTTTTTCAACTTCAATTTTCAAATTATCGACTTTTAACTTTTTCGGTTGTTCAACTATTCGTTGCCTCGGTTTCTTACTTTTTCCATTTCTCAGCTTTTCGATTATATAAATTTTCAATTTTTCAATTTGCAAATCTTTCAGTTTCTCGAATTCTTCTCAATTCTTTGAGTGTTCAATTCGATTTCTCAAATTTTCCGTTTTTTGATTTTTCGGTTTTTAGTTTTTCCGGTATTTTATTTTTTTCAATTTATGCGACTTTCCGACTTCCGATTTTAAAATTTAAAAATTTTTCGATTTTTCGATTTTTCTACGTTTATATCTTTTAAAAAGTCGACAAAAGGAGACATCGAAAAATCCAAAAATGTTTAACTTTTGCGGTTTTTCAATTTCTAGGTTTTCCAATATTTCGACTTTTCGATTTTGTCATTTTCGACTATTCAATTTTTCGATTTTTCGATTTTTGAGTTTTTCCAATTTATTCCCGTTTTTTCAAATTTTCGATTTGCTAATTTACGATTTTTGAATTGAATTTATCGGTTTTTCGATTGTTTAATTTATCGATACTTCGATTTTCGATTTTCCAATTTTTATATTTTTCAATCTTTCGAAAAGTCGTAAAATGGAGGCATTGAAAAATCCAAAAATCTAAAAATTCAGAAACTGAAAAACTGAAAAACTAAAAAATTGAAAATTCAAGGAATTGAAATTCGCGATTTTTGAATTTCTGAATTTTTCAATTTTCAACGTTTGCGGTTTTTTAATTTTTTGATTTCTCGATTTCGGTTTTTCCATTTTTTCAATTTTTCGATTTTTCAAATATTACAATTTTTTATATTTAAAAAAAACCAAAAAATCAAGACAGTGAAAAATCGAAAGATCGAAAAATCCCAAAATCCAGAAATTGAAAAACCGCAAAACCTAAAAATCAAAAAATTTAAAGTTGTGATTATTCGATGTATAATTTTCTCGTTTCGCAACTATTCAATTCTACAAATTTTGAATTTTCGAATTTTTGGATGTTTTCGTTTCTCAAATTTTAGTTTTTCAATTTTTTAACATTTAAGTTATTCGATTTTTGGATTTAATTTCCCTCCTATTCGATCTATCAATTTTTGACTATATCGTTTTATCGATCCTTGGAAATTTTAGTTTTCCAATTTTTGGTTTTATCGGTTTTCCAAATTTTCGATTTTTCAATTTTTTCGAACTCTCGATTATTCGACTTTTCGATTTTATGATTTCTGAATTTTTCTATTTTTAAATTTATAGGTTTTTAGATTTTTCAATTTTTCAAAAAGTGACGAAAAATCGGGATATCGAAAACACCAAAAATTCAGATTTTTGAAAAATAGCAAAATCTAAAAATTGAAAAATCGAGAAACTGAAATTCGCCATTTTTTAATTTCTAAACTTTTCAATTTTTAAATTGCGGTTTTTAGATTTTCGACTTTTTAATTTTTGTTTTCCTCGTTCTCAATTTTTCCCAACTGTTCGATTATACATATTTTAGATTTTTCAATTTTAGGTGTTTTTGTTTCTCAAATTTTCAATTTTTCGATTTTTCAATTCCCCGATTTTTCAATTTTTAATTTTTTCGATTTCAGGATTTCTGATTTTTTTCTGATTTTTCAGTTCTTTTAAAATCGAAAAATCGAGTTTGAAAAACCGAAAAGTCGAAAAGCGATACATAAAAATTGCAAAATGGAGAAAATGTGGTTTTTCATTTTAAAGATTTTGCAATTTTCCGATTTCTGGATTTTCCGACTTCTCGATTTTTGTTTTTCTCGTCCTGGATTTTTTGATTACCCGTTTTTCGACGTTTATTTTTCAATTATGCAAATTTTCAATTCACCGGGTACTTACTTTTTTCATTTCTCATATTCGATTTTTCGAATTTTCGATTTTTCAAATTTTCTAGTTGCTGATCTACGATTTCTGAATTTTTCGATTTTAAAATTCATCGGTTTTTCGATATTTCAATTTTTATATTTTTCGATCTTCCAAAATGTCGACAAATGGAGACATCGAAAAATCCAAAAATTCAGATATTGAAAAATCTCAAAATGTAAATATTAAAAAAAGGACAAACTGAAATTCGCTATTTTTAAATTTTCGATTCCCGATTTTTCGACTTTTCGATTTTATATTTGTGGTTTTTCGATTTTTTCATTTTTATATTGTTCGGTTTTTCGATTTTTCAATTTTCTAGAATTTTTAATTAGGTATTCAAAAAGTCCAGAAATCAAGACATTGAAAAATCCAAAAAATTGAAAGCACTTTTTAGTCCACCTTATCATCCGTCATCCAGTGGCTTGGCAGAAAATAGACTTAAATAATTTAAAAATGGATTTAAAAAGTCTATGTGTGGTAGTAAAAATAGAAGCTGGACTACGATTTCTGAATTTTTCGATTTTAAAATTTATCGGTTTTTCGATTTTTCAATTTTTATATTTGTCAATCTTCCAAAAAGTTGACAAATGGAGACATCGAAAAATCCAAAAGTTCAGAAATTGAAAAATCTCAAAATCTAAAAATTAAGAAATCGACAAACTGAAATTCGCTATTTTTGAATTTCTAGATTATTCAATTTTTAACTTTTGCGGTTTTTCAATTTCTGGATTTTCCAATATTTCGACTTTTCGATTTTTGTCTTTTTCGTCCTCGAGTTGTCGATTTTTCGTTTTTCGACAATTCAAATTTTCAATTTATCGATTTTTAACTTATTCGTTGTCGTCTCGGCTTCCTAATTTTTCCATTTTCTAACTTTTTGATTATATAAATTTTCGATTTTTCAATTTTTAGATGACTCAGTTTATCGAATTTTCGATTTTTCGATTCATCCATTTTTTAATTTTTCGACAATTCTATCTCGCAACTTTTCAGTTTTTTGATTTTTCGATTCTTTAGTTTTCCAATTTATCCGACTTTTCGACTCCTCGGTTTTTGAAATTTTCGACTTGCTGATCTACGACTTCTGAATTTTTCGGTTTTTAAATTTATGGGTTTTTCGATTGTTTGACTTATCAATATTTTTATTTTTCTATCTTTCAATTTTTATATTTTACAATCTTTAAAAAGTCGAAAAATAGAGATATCGAAAAATCCAAAAATTCAAAAATTGAAAAACAGAAAAACCTAAAAATTGAAAAATAGACAAATTGAAATTCGCGATTTTTGAATTTCTGGTTTTTCGATTTTTTCATTTTTATATTGTTCGGTTTTTCGATTTTTCAATTTTTAGTTTTTTTAATTAGGTATTCAAAAAGTCCAGAAATCAAGACATTGAAAAATCCAAAAAATTGAAAGCACTTTTTAGTCCACCTTATCAACCGTCATCCAGTGGCTTGACAGAAAATAGGCTTAAATAATTTAAAAATGGATTTAAAAAGTCTATGTGTGGTAGTAAAAATAGAAATATTCCGTATTTATTTTAACAATCTCCCACTGATGTATATTAATTGTAATAAATGGCCCCTACGAGGTAGACAACCAACAATTCACATATTAATACTACATGGAAAATTTATGAACAATTCAAAGATGAGAATTAATTTTGACTACACGACGTAACATTCATAAAGTAGGATTAACAAGTGATGTTTTAGAAAGACAGCTTCGTGTGAAACACAATACGTCATATTACATACTTCCGTATTAATATATGTCTCTCCCAGAACACAACATGTGTTTGCACGTTTGAACCATAAAAATGCCAAGCACTCATAAAAAGTTATTAAGGTGTGTTTTGAGCTCTCTTTATGACATAATTAAAGCTGAGATGTCTTATTACGGTAGATTTTACTACTCTATTTTTTTATACTGGGAGATAAATATTTTTGACATTTATACCAAAATGCATTTTGTCATTTGCCCAAATATGTATGAAGAATGGGTAAAGAGTGCAATATGCGTCAGGTTTTTTCAAGTAATAACTTGAGTATTTCCACCCAGTTATTTTTGTTTTGTTATCGCTCCGGAAGCAAAAATCCATCCCGCTCCTGCAGCGAAACACCACAAAATGGAACGAAAACACATCCGTTCGAATAATCAGCACGCCATAGATAATTGAAACGAACAAAATAACGGAATCCCCGGAAAAAACTACTGTAACCTATCGTAAGCTATCCAGCAAAGCGCACGTTTAGCGGATAACTAGAATCCTCTTATCGAAAGCTGTTTGCTGTTCAAACACGGATTTGAATATAATCATGTAAAATCGATCCCGTCCTGTATAATGAAATTTCCTAGACGAATACGTACCTGGATTATACTGGTTTTGCCAACGGCCGGCGCCCCCAATAGTATAACTTTAACCCTGTCGACTGACTCTGGGCTGATTTCGATCGGGCTTCGGGGCGCCTCCTGGTTTTCATTGTTTGGCTCATTCTGGCGCCTTTCCAAAAAATCCAGGTCCAACTCTGCAACAACAAGGCCGTAAATCACATTTGCTTGTGTGGCGGTCGATCTGGAGTTATCTATTCAGCAACAAATCAAGGGAAAAGTTTGAGGAGGAGATAAGTGGAAAGTTCTTTCATAATGTGGGGGTTCGAGAGGCTCGGGTTGGAGTCGGGTTTTCAAATGTGCAATTGTGGCCACTCGTAAACTTGGTTCTAGTAGCGAGATTTTTATTTTTTCTACAATAAAAAAGTGTAAAAAAACTAAATAAAAATGCGTCGATTTATCTCGGGAAAGTTTATGAGGGGACATAAAACTTCTGGTTTTCACCTGCAGTTGTGTTTGTTCCTGGTTTGTGCTAAAATTTGATGAAATAACTTTAAAAGTACGAATTTTTACAAGTACAACTTGAAACGACATTTCCTATCTTGATTATTGCGGCAAAATATTGATCAATTTTGGAATTGCTCTCATTCGGTTGAAAATTTCATAGGTATTTTCATTAATTTTTTTTTTGAAATTTTAGGTTTCGATTTTTCGTTTCTTTTGGCTTTTTCAGTTTTTCGATTCTTTGATTTTATTGTGTTCAACTTTTCAATTTTTCAATTTCTTAATTCGCAATTTTTCGATTTTACAAGTAGTTCGATTTTCGATTTTCTAGGTGCTTTAATTTTTCGTTTATCCAATTTTTGGATTTTTCAGGTTCTTCTTCAAGTATTCTAGTTTTCAATTTTACGATTTGTTAAGATTTTAATTTTTCCTTATTTCAATTGACTGAGCATTTTTGAATTTTTAAAAATTATTTGGTTTTTCGGTTTTTGCAATTCCTTAATGCCCTCATTTTGCTAGATTTTATAAATTTTCAAATTTGTTTTCAGTTTTGTAAATTTTTCATATACAGTAGACGCCGCTTAATATGATCACGGTTAATGTTATCAACCGCTTAATGTGATCAAAATGGCTTGGAACGGGCCCACGCAATACCAATGCATTAAAATTTTTCCGTTTATTGTGATCAATATTTCGCTTATTGTGATCAATCTTGCAATTCTTATACAAGCGGGAATTGTTTTTTTGGAGAAGCGAGACGATTGAAACCACTATTGTTTTTTAATGAACATTCATTGCTCTCAAAAGATAAATTCGCTTATACTATTCACTTTATACTCCCATAGATCTTACCTTATCAGAGAAAAAAAAAATCTCAGCCCTTACTTAAGAAACTTCTAGAACCACCAAAGAAAATCGAGGGTTCCTTTCTCAGAATGGTAATCAAAATTTATTTTAAAAATTCTTCTGTTTATGTACCTTCATCTACCAGCACAATAAACACTATCTTGTTCATGATTTTGTATTATTTTGAATTTTACTGTCTCTGATGATGGTTTTCGCTTATTATTATCAGTCGGTTAGTGTGATCAATTTGTCTGAGTCCCAAAGTGATCACATTAAGCGGCGTCCACTGTATCAACTTTTGAATTTTTAAATTTTTCGATTATATGTAATTTACAATTTTTTAGTTTTATAGTCAGTTCACTATTTCGATTACACAGATTTCCGATTTCAATTTTCCGAATTTTCAGTTTGTAATTTTTGGATATTTTAATTTTTTATTTTTTCAGTTTTTCGATTTGCAGCTTTTCTAGTTTTCAGTTTATAGCTTTTCAATATTTGGAGTTTCGAATTTTTTTAATTTTGGTCAAAAGGAACAAATTTACCCAAACTGAAACTTTGAAAATTGTAAAGTAGATATTTTTTTCATATTACGCTCGTGTTTTCGATGTGCTCCTTAGAAAAACTGGAAAAAGCCGAAAAATTGGAAGTCAAACGAATGAAAAACTAAAATATAGAAGAATTTAAAAAATTTTAAATTATAAAATCTAGACTGAGCTGTGCTAAAATGTGAAAACACAAAACATTGAAAAATTGAAAAATCAAAAGTTGAGAAACCCAAAAATTCAAAAATATGCAACCTAGAAAATGGAGACATATGTAGAAAAATTCAAAAATTTTAAACTGAAAAATAAAAAAATTGTAAACCGAGAAACTGATGGACAATTGAAAAATTGAAAAATAAAAAAAAATCGGAAAATTAAAAAATCCGGAATTTGCAATTTGAAAAGATCGAAAAAAAAACGAAAAATTTATTTATTAAATGACTATAAAACCTAGAAATTGCAAAGCGAAAAGATGAAGAAAATCGAAATTCCAAAGTTGAAAATACAAAAAATTCAAAAAATTAAAATTGAAAACTGAAAAAATGGCAAATCGAGAACATGGAAAAAAGAATTGGAAAGTTGAAAATCGAATAATTCAAAACCTCAAAAATCTGCAAAACGAAAAATTGACAAAAAAAATTTAGGAAATTGCAGATCGGAAAATTGAAAACACATGAATTCAAAAATAGAAAAAATATGGATAGAATGCAACGAAAAATAAAAAATTGGAAATTTGAAAACTGGAAACTAAAAAAATTGCAAATCTAAATGATGCAGAAAGGAAAAATCAAACATCGAGAAACGGAAAATTCGAAAAATTAAAAAAGGAATAACTGTAAAATCGAAAAACTGTAAAATTGTTAAATTAGAGACTGCAACATTGTAAACTCAAAAAAATGCAACTCCAAAAATTGTAGAAATGGAAAATTGAAAAGTCAAAAGATGAGAAATCGAAAAATTTAAAATTTATAGCAGAAATTTTAGAATAGAAAAGCCGAAAAATTCAAAAATAGAAAAATTACGGAATCTAGAAACTGCAAATATAAAAGTTGAAGTAACGGAAAATTGAAACATTTAAACTTTTAAAACTGGAAACTAAAAAACTGCAAACAGAAATATTGTAGAAAGGAAAAATTAAAAATCGAGAAACGGAAAATTCGGAAAATTAAAAACAAACGAATAAACTAGAAATTTGAAAAAAAAAATGCAAATCGAATAATTAAAAACCGAAAAATTTAAAAATAGAAAAAATTTAGAATCTAGAAATTTCAAACCTAGTAGGTGGATCGAGAAGTCGAAAAATCCAATGCTTGAAAAATTAAAAAATTCGAAAGTTAAAAATACTGAAAAAGTTTCCAATCGAAAAATTTTAGAAATGGAAAATTGAAAAACTATGGCAGGAAATTACAAATCTAGAAGGTAAAATAACGGAGAATTATAAAAATTAAAATTTTTAGGCAAAAATTGTACAATAGAAAAATCGGAAAATTCAAAAACCGAAAAACTATAAAATCTAAAAATTGCAAATCTAGGAGTTGGAAGTAACAAAAAATTAAAAAACCTAAAAAATCAAACATTTAGAACTGGAGACTATAAAACTGCAAATAGAAATATTGTAGACAGGAAACATTTAAAATAGAGAAACGGAAAATTCTAAAAATTGTAAAGTTGAAAATTCGAAAAGTAGAACATTTAAAATTGAGAACTCAAAAAATTTCTTATTGAAAAATTCTAGACACAGAAAACTGAAAAATCGAAAAAGCCATGAAAGGATGAAAAATCGAAAAATTCTAAATTTTAAAGTAGAAATTTGGGAAAAAATATGCAAATCGAATTCATGAAAACTGAAAAAATCAAAAGCAGGAAGAATTTGGAATTTAGAAATTGTAAACCAAGGAGGTAAATTGAAAAATCTAAAAATTCAAAACTTGAAAATCAAAAAATTCGAAGACTTCAAATTGAAAACTGAAAAGCTTCCCTTCGAAAAATTTTAGAAATGGAAAATTGAAAAACTATAACTAGAAATTACAAATCTAGAAGGTGAAATATAACGAAAAATCCAAAAATTAGAAAATTTAAAATTGGAAACTCAAAAAAAATGAAAATCGAAATATTGTAGAAAGAAAAAATTAAAAATCGAGAAACGAAAAATCGAAAAATTGATAAACTTAAAACTGTAAAATCGAAAAATAACAGATCGAAACATTGAAAAATCAGAAAATTGGAAAGTTGAAAAATTGCAAAATTCAAAAATTTAAAATTAAAAGCTCAAAAAATTGCTAATGGAAAAACTGTTGTAACCGGAAAATGAATAATCGGAAAATTAAAAAATTAAAAATCGAAAATCTCAAAATTTTAAAATTGAAAATTGAAAAAAATGGAAATCGATTATTTGAAAATCGAAAAATTCACAAATAGAAAAATTATGAAATGAATACAAATCGAAATATTGTAAAAGGGAAAAATTAAAAATGGAGAAACGAAAAATTCCGAAGATGGTAAAACCGAAAAATTCATAATTTTAAAGCAGAAATTTGAAAAAAAAAAATTCAAATCGAATAATTGAAAAATTGAAAAACTTCAATTCGAAAATTTAAAATCGAAAACTGAAAAAGTTTCTAATCGAAAAATTTTAGACATGGAAAATTGAAAATCTATGACAAAAAATTACAAATTTAGAAGGTGAAATAACGAAAAATCATTGAAAAATGCGAAATCTAAAACTGGAAACTCAAAAAACTTGGAAATCGAAACATTGTACAAAGGAAAAATTAAAAATCGAGGAAGGGAAAAATCGAAAAATAGATAAATTAAAAACCGTAAAATCGAAAAATTACAGGTCCGAAAATTGGAAAATCCGAAAATTGGTGGAAAGTTGAAAAGCCCAAAAATTAAAAAATTTTAAATTCAAAACTCAAAAAACTGCCAAGGGAAAAATTGTTGAAACGGGAAAATGAATAATCGGAAAATTAAAAAAAATGCAAACAGAATATTTTAAAAATCAGGAAATTCAAAAACAGAAGAATTATCTAGAAATTGCAAAGCTAGGAGTTGGAAGTAACAAAAAATGAAAAATCGAAAATTTCAAAAATTTACTACCGGAAAGTAAGTGTATGGGAAAACGGAAAATTCGTAAATTCTGAAAATCTAAAAATTACAGATGAAAACATTGAAAAGTCGGAAAATTACAAAGTTAAAAAATTGAAAACGAAAAATACCAAATTGGAAAACCGAAACATACAAAAATAGAAAAATTATGGAATCTAAAAATTGCAAATCTACAGTCAAACATTAAACTAAAAACT